TATACAAAATACTTGATGCATATACATTTTGGGTGCCATATCAATCTAGGACATTATGCATATACATCATACATGACATTTTTTACACACTTTGGGTAAAACCAATATCTTGGGGCCCTTTGTCATATTATAAAAATAAGCAATTACCTTGGTTGAGAACAGACACAAATGGTAAAACTATGATCTCATCTTTGACCTAGTTATCTAAGATTCGATCACCAAAACACTTTTCAATTCTCTACCTCTAGATGGCGGTAAGTATGTGAGTTCTCAAGATTATATTATTTATCCCCTAGGTCGTGATAAATATGTAAGACTATCCTCGTGACGTTTATCCTCTAGGTCATGACAAACACACAAAATTGTTCAATCATCTATCCCCTAGGTTATGGTAGGTGTGAAAATTATTGGGTTCATATAATTCATTCCCTAGGTTGTAATGAATACGTGAATCTATCTTCGTGCCGTTTATCCTCTAGGTCGTGGTAAACACACAAATTCTTCAAATATCTATCCCCTAGGTTGTTATAGGTATGCAAATTTTTAGGATTATGCTATTCATCCCCTAGGCCATGATGAATAATGTAAGCCTATCCCTGTTGTCTTTTATCCCCTAGGTCATGATAAATTCATAAGTTCCTCTTCGTACTGTTTACTCTCTAGGTTGTAGTGAACATAACAAAATCTGCATAGTTCATTGTGTCAGTCTCCACACAGCAATGCATTATCAACACTCTATTTTATTCATCCCCTAGGTTGCGATGAATAAACAAAATATGTATTATAAAAATTTCAAACTTGTATCATTTACCTCCTTGGTTATGGTAAATGTGAAAAAAATCTATGATCCCTTTTAGATATTGACGAGTTATCTGCATCGTCGTATCTAAGTCAAATCAAATCTTTCTGTTCAAAACTCTAGCAAGATGATACATCACCATCTATGCTTATTTTTCACGCTCTTAGGAACGTTTTACATCATATCCTTAGAATCTTCCGGTCAAATTCTAGGGTCTTCCATTATTTAATAAACCTTCAATTCGAATATACAAGACCTGCGTATTCTCGCACTATTCAATCGAAGGATAATTAAATAGGGGCAGTTGTCATACCCCAAATTTGCCCTATAGATTTCTAACAATTTATTCCCTATTAAAGTTATCACTTTTATAAAGGTTTAGATTGTTGTCAAATTATTATGGGGTTTAAATTCATGAAAAGGGATGTATTATTCAGCGAACCATCAAAATATGATGGCCCATTAAGAATTATTTTGTATGCTTTAAGGAGGGATACATGTTTTTTTGAAACCAATTAGGCCCATTATAATGTTGTCAGGCCCGTTTAGAATAAACAAGGGGGTGTTTTTATCTTCTGAAACCATTGGCTCAATGTTCTTGTAATAAGAGGGGTGCATTTTTTTAAGTAAGCCCATATCACTTTTTAAAAGGCCATGTTAACTGTTTTGAGCATTTTTTGGAGAAATCTTAAAAGTTGGCCCATTTGTTTCTTTAGCCCATTAGATTGTTATGATTGTCTGATTAATTATTATTAGTAGTATTATTATTTCTATTATTATTTTATTCATTATTATTATTATTAGAAATAAATATTTTGTTGACTTTTGGGTCAAAATTAGAAGCGAAAACCCTAATTGCTCATCCAGCGGTGCTGCTATTCTTCATCAAACTACATTAAGTAACCCAAGCCCACAAACATCCACTATACAGATCCAGAAGGAAAATGCGTTTTGTAAACAAAATCAAATCACACATTTTTGAATCAAATCTGGAAAATTACAAATCAAATATAATATAATCATATCAAATTATTTCCATCATAGTACATATTGTCAAAAAATTACACAGATATGAAATCAATCACAGATCTAAAATCCCTAATTTCAAACAAAATCAATCTAAATCAATCTACAACATATTGAATCCCTAAACAAATCTTAATCTTCCTAAATCCTAAAATCAATTACAGATTGCAACGACAATCATAAACAAATATTCCTAATCTACCTAAAAACCTAAGCTATAAAAACCTAAGGTTCTAAGAAGAAAGGGGAGGAGAAAATTCAGACGAACAAGTTGACAGAGAAGCGGAAATAAGAAGAAGAAAATTTTAGGGCTTCATTATTTAAAACCCTAAAGTTCTTCGCCGCTACACTACCATCCACCTTCGTACCTATAAAACAGAAAGATAAGAGAAGGAGATTAGAGTGTAGAATCAGAAAACCAGAAATAAAGAATCACAGCAAGGAAAGGTAAGCCTGAAACACTTAGCTCTTAGGATTTTATTGCACGTTGATTGATGTTAATTGTATGGTTGGGGTTTAATTTGGGGTTTCTTGGGTTTCTAAGGGTAGGGTTCTAACCTAAGGTTAGGGTTCTTAGATCCTAGGGTTAGGGTTCTTAGATCGTAGGGTTAGGGTTCTTGGGGTTGTTTGAAGATCAGGAATAGGGTTCATCATTGTTGTGTTTTTCGTTTTGGGATGCTTAGGGTTCATCATGAACCCTTAGGGTTTTTAGGGTTCATAGAACCCAGATGAAGATCCAATATGGTGTTGTTTGAATGTATGAAGTTTCCGGTTGAATGTATATCGGAAAACTGGGGAGAACAGGTGGTTTGTGGAGGCTTGTAGAGGTTCTAAAATATTTTACTATTATCCTAAAAATCAAATATTTATTTTTTCTAATCCATTCAAATGGTTTTTTTATCGCATTAAAATTAATTTTGTAGTGCATTAAGAAATTTTGTTATATATTAATATATTTAAAAAATACCTAACCAACATCAAATTACTAACAATTTTTACTAACTTAATTAAATCCAAGATTATTTTCAAAAAGGATTATGGAAATATTTTTAATCGACTGCAAACTTCGTCTAACAACTCCGTTATTCACACACCCAGACTTGGTTCAAGGAGAATTTAAAATATCTTCGTAATCCCTAAAAAAAACCAACCAACTACGAACTATGAATTGGGACTATGATTCCTCATAAGAGGATACGTAGGCATATGACTAAAATCGTGGAGAGTTCCCCTAATAAAAATTAAAACCCTATTTCCAAATTCGTAATTCTAAACCTTAGTATCCTTGTGAACAAGGTAGATGAGGGGTTCCTAACACCTTCCCTTCGTCTAAGAACGAGTCCAACAACTTAGAATCTCTTATCAAATTAAGATTATCCTTTATATTCCCTTCCTAAAGATAAAAATTAAGGATGGAGTCTCTCATTTTAAAATCGATTGTTATAGTTTGGGTTCGCTTCGCGAACATAGTTTGCTTGACGAACATGTCTTCGCTGCAAGCTTGCTGTAGCAAAACATGACATGTGTTTTTGTCTTGTTTTCCATCCTTTGATCATTTCCTACATAATTAAACACAAATTAGTAGATGCGTTTAATTTCTTGCCATAGTGTGCATAATTCTATGAATAAGTGCTTTGTAAATTCGATAAATGCTTTTTTTCATGAGTAACTTTTTAGCATTTATCAAATTCTCCCCACCTTTATTTCTTGCTTGTCCTCAATCAAGATCAAAATAAATTCCTTTTAATGACAATGTTCTATTTTCATTTAATTTTGTGAGATGAAATGGTTCAAATGGAATATTCTCTTTGCAAATGGTTTTGTTCTTCTTTCACTTTGATAGAATCAAAGCATGATTATACAATAATGTTTCCATGCAAAGATCATTTTATGCAATCAACAAAAAAACCATATCTCTTTTCTTTTAATCATCCTATCACTCATTCTTCATAAAAATGATGCAGATTTCTTTTTGAAGCAATTTTTGTGGTGGTAGGTAATTTGAACTCTCATGAACAACTTTGTCAACATCTTGATTTATTCATGTTTCCATCTTGATGATTTCCTTTTTTAATCTCTTAGTGAGCATAAGTTTTCAAGGCTATTTGGCTATATTTTGTGAATTTTTCTTCCTAAGGCTAATGATACTTTGGATTTGTCAATCCTTCTCTTTTTGAATTCTCCTTCTCTCTTTGGTTTTAAGCATTTGAAGAGACTACATGTTCCTTTTTCATTCTTTATTTCTTTCTTTTATGATTTATAGTCTCTCTCCAGCTTTATCTTTTTCTTTCTTTTTCAAGCATTTGTTTTTCTTTTTGTTTTGCTTTGAAACTAATTTTTCACGAGCTTGTGACTTGTTTTCAAGTACTCTTTTGGTTCATTCTTAAATTTCTAGCAGGCTGGTTTTATTTTGGTTCAAGTAGTTTTCTTGGATTTGGATTGGTTTTTCAAGTGTTCACTCAACTCACTGGTTTTATGTTGAGGCTCTTTAGTTAGGTGGTTTTTCTCAATTGTAATAGCCTTGATTTGATGCTCCACAAAAATTTCGCAAGGTAATCGTTAGATTTCACATGAATCTATCGAGTTTTAATCAAATTTATTCGTACTCATTTCTTTTTGTGCATAATGGAAGGCTTCTCGCTTTTCTTGTTTATCGGCTATATGATTCAAGAAAGATAATATGTATTTGTAAAATTGAAGCATTAAATGATTTTGTACAAACCATTATTTCAAAAGCATGATATCATTCATTGTACAAAGCTTTAAAAACATGTACCTTTGCCTTGTGCATTTTGTCCCAAAGTTTATCATTACCACTCATGTTTTGTTGAATTTATTGAAAACGGAATTTTTGCTTCTCTTTGAACACTTTTTAAACCTTGATGAGGAAAGTAAGTGCATTGTAAGCACAAATATGCAACGGTTTTTTTCAACATAAACTCAATATACCAAACATTAAAATAACCAAATACCAAGTGATGTTACAATATTAATATCGTCAAAAGGATTACAACAAAAAACGGAACCGAAAATCTAAACAGAATATCACAAACTGAATTGAAATAACTAGCATAAAATTACTAAATACAAAATAAACTATGCTGAAAGCTTTTAAAAATATCACTCATTTAATAGAGAGCTTTCAACATTGTCTCCTTTTCTTCACTCTCCACCCATGTCTTCATCGCCACCGGCTTTAGACGTTGTTTTGGATCCTCCCAATGTTCTTGCTTCATCTCCTGTCGCCTCTTCTTCTTCAGCATGTTGCTCATCATCACCCTCATTTTCATGGTCAGCTGCCTCTGGAGGAAATTTAGGTGCACGTTGCATGGCCTGTAAGCATCAAGCTAATGATGTTAAACAAGCGCTCTTCAGGAGGCAACCCGACTCTGTAAGTATTTTATTGTTTTTATGTTAGGTGACATTTAAAGGTTCTTGGCGCAGTAGGTTTACAATTCTTCAGAATTATGGTATTGCATAGTTCGGTAAGCAAACAATAGTTCGCGATGTGAACGTCTAAGCCTAGAAAGTTTTCTAAGAAAACTTTACTCATGAAGAGAACGCGCGGTGGTCAAACATGTCTTTATGACCATTAAAAGCACCACCTACTCACCTACCACACATTTATGTCACGGTTTTCGCCATGCCATTTACTATTTTTTTTTTCATTTCTCTCTTTCTCTAACCCTAGAAAACTCTTTACTTATCTCACTTTTCAATTCACACTTTCACTCCCTCACTTTACTCACTTTTTCACACTACCCTAATCTCTTATCCATCTCCAATTTTTGCAGCAAGCAATAGGTATGTGACATCTCTATCTATTATCATTTTCCTCTTGTTATGCTATGTCTTCATTCTTTCTTTCAAAGTTTTTAGATCTGTCACTTCTACATGCTATTAATTTTCTTGTTGAGATTCTTATGTTTAGATTGATGGGCATCCATGGTTGAAACTTTCATATTCTATAGCACATTCTTTTAAAGATATAATTTTTGATATGCTCTTTTATATTTATGATATACACATAAATTGAAACATATTGAATAAAGAAAATAATCAGGAAACAGAAGTCTGTCAAAAATTATTTTTCCAGAAATCGCGGAGTTCACTATGCGAACTATAGTTCGCTAAGCGAACATGTCCTGATGCAAAAAAAGCAGTGTCTTAACAGACCAGATTTCTGGTATCTTGTGTTGCAGGTATGGCTCCAAAGTGAATTGTGGCTTCAAAGAAACAGAAAACCTCATAGGCTGGAACTTCAAGAGAACAACAAACCTTTGACCAGACAAGATTTATTAGACAAGAACAAGAGGGTAGGTATCAGAACTTATGGGAAGATCCATCTGGTATGAAAGAATCTTTGATATCAATATTGAAGGAACATACAAGTCCTTAACTTCTATATGGACCAGCCACAAATGGGATAAGCTTTTGAATCCCCACCGCAAAATCAACACTGAGGTACTTCAGGAATTATATGCTAACGGCTTTCCCTCATAAGGAACTTCCTTCTCTTTCTCAACCAAAGTTGGGGGAAGAATAATTCAATTCCATAGGGATATGATTAATAAATTTTTGGGAACTCCTAGCTTGCAGGAAGAGCAGATATGCCATTACCAAGAATCCTTTAATAAGATGCCCAATGAAGCAGTGATCTCTAAGAAAATTATTTTGGAAGGTAGGGAAGTGGAAAGGAATCCATCTGGTACAACAATTAGATATTGTAGGTAGAATTTAATCCTGGAAGCTCAAGTTCTCCTCTTGATTATTCTGCACAATATCTGACCATAAAGCCACACTTCCACCTTCACAGTGGATATGGCTCAGCTTCTGTATTTTCTCATGTCAGGTAGGCGAGTTGATATCAGTCAAATCATTGCTACCGAAATGAAAAATGTTGCAGAAAGCGGTAAGGAGTTTGGGGCCGGAACCATAAGCGCTCATCCTCTAGTTTATCCCAGTTTCATCATGGGATTTCTCATTGCTTCTCGAGTAAGGATTCCCAATGTAGTACCATTTGTAATCAAAACCAAAGTTAACGAAACATATATGGAGAGGTATTGCTTGGAAAAGAAAAAGAAAAAAAGGCAAGAAGACCAAGCAGGGAAGACTTCATCCACTATGAACTATGATGATTGGGATCTAAGACTTCTCCAAGCTTTCACCTATATTTGGAATCAAAACGATTACAATCAAAGGATTGCTCTTTCTTTACATGATTCTTTTCACATGTTACACATTCAGCCAGGAGGGTAGCCCGATGAAAGCCATCATTTTATGACTTCGGAGGAATTTCATACGCACATTGCGTGGCCTAGGGACATGCCATTTTATCATAGGGAGGCAGTTGGCCATGAAAATGAGAATGGTGATGAGCAACATGCTGAAGAAGAAGAGGTAGCAGGAGATGAAGCAGGAACATCAGGAGGATCCAAAATGGCGTCTGAAGCCGGTGGCGATGAAGAAATGGGTGGAGAGTGAAGAAAAGGAGACAATGTTGAAAGCTCTCCATTAAACGAGTGATATTTTTAAAATCTTTCAGCAAAGTTTATTTTGCGTTTAGTAATTTTATGCTACTTATTTCAGTTCAGTTTGTGATATTCTGTTTAGATTTTCGGTTTAGTTTTTTGTTGTAATCCTTTTGACGATATTAATATTGTAACATCACTTGGTACTTGGTTATTTTAACGTTTGGTATATTGAGTTTATGTTAGAAAAAAACTTGTACATATTTGTGGTTGCAATGCACTTACTTTCCTCATCAAGGTGTTGTAATCGGTTTTAAATTGAGAGTCGCCACCCTTAATTTTTATCTTTAGGAAGGGAATATAAAGGATAACCCTAATTTGGTCAGAGATTATAAGTTTTTGGACTCGATTTAGACGAAGGGAAGGTGTTAGGTACCCCTCATCTACCTTGTTCACAAGGATACTAGGATTTAGAATTGCAATTTAGGAAATGGGGTGTTAATTTTTATTAGGGGAACTCGTCACGACTTTTAATCTTATGCCTATGTATCCTCTAATGAGGAATCAGAGTCTCAATTCGTAGTTCGCAATTGGTTGGTGTTTTTTATGGATTACGAAGATATTTTGAATTCTCTTTGAACCTTGTATGGGTGTGTGAATAGCGGAGTTGTAGACGAAGTTTGCAGTCGATTAAAAAAAAATCGTAATCCTTTTTGAAAATAATCTTAAATTTTAAATTATGTTAGTGGAAAATTGTTAGGATTTGATTGGTTAAATATTTTTTAAATATATTAAAAATAAAAAATATTTTTAATGTATGAGGAAAATAATTTTAATGCGATAAAAAATATATTTTAATGAGTTAGTATTTTTAAATATTCGAATTAATACATAAATAATTTTAGAAAATAATATATTAAAAGTTAAAATATAATAATAATAATAATAATAATAAACAAAATAAATAAATAAATAAATAAAATATAAAAATAAGAATGAAATTAATTAAAAACGCATGGGGTGTGTTTTATTTAGGTTAAGTAATTCAAGGGGTGTAGAAAGTAGGGCCCTTAATCCAGATATTGAATTTAGGCCCAAACGTAGAAGGGAGGTGTATAATTGAACAAGGAAGTAAAAAGGGGGGTACGTTCAGCAAGGGCCCAAGTTCAGGTATTGAACTGGACTCAGTAGCGCAGAGGGGTGAGGATTATTATGGGCGAAGTAAATAGAGGGTGAGTTCAGTAATTGGCTAAGTCTAAAACAGATATCTGATCCAATGGACAAGGTGTGGGAGGGATCATGGAGTTGTGGTGGACATGCGTTTCAGGGAATTTTAATGATGATCCAAGGGATGTGATGGGAAGCGCATGGTAAGGGGAGGAGTACTAGATTAAGGGGTGTCATATAAACAAAACCCTGGCCCGAAGGCCCATTTTTATTTTCCCTCCCTCTCTGTACACCCAAAACACAAACACGTTATATTTTTAGAGAGAGAAGCTATGGCTTCTCTCTAGGCAATCGAAAATCACCCCGCTGGCCAGAAATCGCTTCCGCCGGTGGTCACCACTGTGAGCCACCACAAACCACCCTTTCTATCTAGTTTTCCTGGATGACAATCAACCGAAAAACTTCAAACATTCTTACTCCACCACCGTACCAAAACCCAGAACCCTAGAACCCTAAGAACCATAACCCCAATCTTCAAATAAACCTCAAGAACCCTAACCCTTTATCCAACCCAGAAGCACAAACCCTTAGAACCATAAGCCCATGTGGATGAACCCTAACCCTAAACGATGAATCCTAACACTGAGTTATGAACCCTAACCCTAAATACTTTCCAGAAACTAAAATCAATAACATTAATAGCAATTAACGAAAGCTAATGGGCTTGGTTTACCTCACTTGCAATATTTCTTTGTGCTTTCTCCTTTATCCTGACTTTTAATCCCTTCCTCTCTTTGTTTTCAGGTGATGGTGACGACGGAGGCACAATGGCGGCGTAGCAACAGATCTAGAGTTTCAGAGTAGAAACCCAGATCTCAAATGAAGAGCGTGGATGTTGGGCGTAAGCTTGCAGCTTCTACTTCTTCTCCTTCTTTACTTTCCCTGTTACAATTTTCTTCCCCTCAATTTTCTTCCCCTATTTAGTATTAATTCATAGGGTTTATATAGGTTAGGAATTAGTACAAATTAGGAAGTTTTATGTTTGATTGTCGTTACATTCTAGTGATTGAATCAATTAGTGATTTGATCCTGTAATTGATTGTAAATTTTGATTGTAATTGATTCGAATTGATACTGATTAGATTTGTTTCGATTTTGTTTTTGAATTCGATTTTCTCTATACAAATATTTCTTGAATCTATACAGTCCGTGTTTTTTAGGTCTTGGGTCATTTTTACCAGTGAAGAGAAATAATAGGGTGCCGCTGGGACTAATTAGGGTTTTCAAACCCTTTTTGTTTTAATTTTGACCTTAGTCAATGTTTTTTCCAAAATAATTGATAAAAACAAAAACGATTATAATTAATATGTTCATGAAAATAATAATAATAATAATAATAATAATAATAATAATAATAATAGATATACTACTGGTTAAAAATAATTTATAAAATAATAATACATGGTTCTAATCAAATGTCTGAAATGGGTCAGTAACTATTCAATTATTTGGCCCATTCTTCTTCCCAAACGCACCCCTTTTATGTACAATAATGTCCCTCCCTTATTAAATATGGGCCCGAGTAAACACAATGGGGCCAACCAATTTGATCCAGAAAAAATACGTCCCTCTTTCTTTTCTCGACATGCATTAAAAAAACCTTAAGGGGCCTAAAAGTATAAAAGACAAATATGCCACCCTCCTTGATTGTGAGAAACAACTTAATGAGATGAGATATAAATGACAAGTACATCCCCATTCCTGATTGCAAGAACAAGATATACCCCTTTTCTTATTACTTATCCGGACCAAAAAAAATTGTCTTAATGGGCCCTCAGATGTTGATGGTCCATTTGAGACAATACACCCCATATTGGATTTAAACCCCTCGTAGGATAATTTTCAAAATAAGCCATTTTAAACATCACGACTACTAAATTAGAAACACAGTAATAATACGACTATTGAATTGATAGGGCAAATTTAGGGTATGACAACTTCCCTTATTTAATTACTCTTTGATTGAGGGTGCGAGAATACACAGGTCTCACACATTTGAATAGAATGTTTATTAAATAATGGAAGACCCAAAAATTTGACCAAAGGTTGGCTAGATAAAGATACGATGTACAACGTTCCCCAAAAGTTTGAAAAAATAGGCACCGGTGATGATGTATCATCCTACCATAGCTTGAACAGAAGTTTTGATCTGACTTAGGTGCGACGACGCGGATAACTCGCCAATACCTAAAAAAGAGATAGTAGAGCTTGGATATCTATCGTAACCTAGGAGGTAAATAACACAAGTTTTAAAATCGACTTACTAATGCTTCTAGACTAACATAGTAAACTTAAGACATCGATTTTGTTCATCATAACCTAGGAGATGAATGAAACAAAGTTTGATAAAACCTCCTTGCATGGATACTGGCGTAATGAGTTATATTGTAGATTTTGTTATGTTTACAACAACCTAGGGAGTAAACAATACGAGGGTGAACCTGTGCAATTACCATGACCTAGAGGATAAACGACACAGGGATAGGCTTATGTATTCATCACGACCTAGACGATGAATAATATAACCTTGAAAATTTGCATAGTGATCACAACCTATGGGATAGATATTTGAAAAAGTTTGGCATTTATTACGACCTAGAGGATAAACAACACGAAGATAAACTTATGTATTCATTACGACCTAGAGAATGAATAACATAAACCCAATAATTTGCAGACCTACCATAACCTAGGGGATATATGATTGAAAAGTTTATATGTTTATCACGACCTAGAAGATAAATGAAACGAAAAGTAGTCTTATGTATTTATCACGGCCTAGAGGATAAATAACTTAATCTTGAGAATTTGCATACCTACCACGACCTAGAGGGTAGATAATTGAAGAGTTTTTCGGTAATCAAATCTTAGATAACTAAACCTAAGATAAGATCGGAGTTCACCAGTTGTGTTTGTTATCAACCAAGGTGTTTGTTTATTTTGTGGATTGAATAATCCAATGATGAGCCCCAAGAAAGTTCATAGTTTTTAACCAAAGATGTGTTTAGATAATGCCATGTATAGTGCCCTAAGTTGGTATGGAACCCAAAATGTATATGCATCGAGTATTTTATATATGCCCCAAATGTAATGTTTGTATATGCACCAAATGTTTGTTGTGAATTGTTTTTAATGTTTCTCCTTTTAAACCATGGCTTTTATGCCACCACCTCTCCAACATTGTATGTTGTATTATTGTGGCATTTTGAATTGATTGAAAAAGATGAATGGTGTCAGCAGGATTTTGATATTGGTATCACAGGCACGGGCGTGGGCATGGACGTAGTTACGGATGTAGGCATGAATATGGCTATGACCGCAGGCGTAGACGCAGTCGTGGGTTTTTTTTCGATGTTTTTCTAACCAAAATGCATTTTGAAGTTATACCAAATGCTTTTATTTGTCAAATCCCAAAAATGATTTCAATGCAGTATTCACAAGAAATAATTGTAGTATATTTGCAAATCTGAAAAGGAAAAACACAATTGAAAGATTGAGAAAGTAAATGTTTATTGATAAATATTCCTTTGAATAGGCAAGAGTATAAGATGCAATTCCTTA